GAGGGGAAGTAATAGAAACAAAATATTGTCATTCTAAAATGTAACATAAATAGGAAAGTGTATATTACATATAACAAGATAGAAAAATGCATGCTACACCATTGTATTATCATTATATATAAAATGAAATAACCACCATAAGGAATTGTGTGGGGCATAATTATTTTCTCAAAAGAGTTCATCTCTCTCTAAAAATTTTTTAGTGTTGGGTTCTGGAGAACCCCACGGGAATCCCAAATACCTGGATCCAACCCAAGATTGTGTACATGATTAGCTAAATGCGAAGTAGATGAATACAACTATAAACTGAGTGCAAAAAATAAATCAAACATAAAAAATACACCACCACAACACATGATTTACATGGTTCACCACGTATGGCTATATCCATAGCCTCGACAAGTAGAAATCTACCATCACAATGAAGATTACAGTTTTGGGTTAAACATCAGTAAAAAAAACCCTCATTGTTCTTCCCTTCTAAATTTGTTGTCCCGAACAACACTGTCGATCAATATATTCTTTCCGACCACAATATTACCACCGTAAAGATAACCTCGAGAGCAACCAAATGACTTCTCTCTCTAGCAATGAAATTTAACCAACCCAAAACCCATGGGAATACCAGCTCTATCTCGAAGGCCATGTCTCTCTTTTTCTTGGAGATCACTTCCCATAACCCCAAAAGGGTGACCCTCAAAAGGATAGGTATCATTGACTCTCTTTTATAAAATATCATTTTCTTGTTTCCCACGTAAGTTCATTTTTTTTTTATATAATAATACTCTTAATCTTTTAGAAGAAAATATGGGTATGGTGATTTTCATCAAATCCAATAGTTGGATGGGTGGGAAAGTATATATCTTCTATGTTGTAGAGGAAGTATAAAAAATTTTCCTTAAAAATCTTGCCCATATATATATATATAAGGAAAAATTTATATAAGGATACAATCTTATAATGTAGAACTACGGATGCACCTTAAAAATCCATCGGAAAAGGTGGTTTTAATGTTGAAAAACCCTTTGATTGATCATCTCGACATCGAGATATATGACCATGAAAATAAAAACATTTTAAGTCTCAAAAATAGTGCATTTTACAACATATTATATACACCGTCCATTTTCAAGATTTTCATATGTTTATAGATCTACTTGATTTTAACTATTTTTTAAATCTTAAATTTTATAATTAGATATAAAAATAGATTTTGAGATAATCCTAAGAACATTTTTATATCAAAATTATATACCATGAAAACTTTGAAGGTACACCTTACTTCTACAGCTATGGACGCATCTGCATACTAACTGCACCCATATATCTAAGCCATTACTCTAGCCAGTCCATCCATGTCCACTTGAGCAGAGGCATATGATCACTCCAATCGCCTGTTCAAAATAGACATTTAAGGTTAATTTAAGCATTCAATGCTACATGTATTACATATATCATGATATGTACATGTTGTAGATTTTGATTAGCCCAATCATTTTACTCTATTTTCTTTTTTGAAAAACTGTTTGGTGCATCCAAGCTCACACCTTGTTGTAGATTTTGATTAGCCCAATCATTTTACTCTATTTTCTTTTTTGAAAAACTGTTTGGTGCATCCAAGCTCACACCTAGTATGTGGCCCCGGAGATCTACACCGTCCACCAAAATTGGGTCCTATAAGTAAAAGTTCTCGGAAGAAAAAGTAAAATCATCGGTTCAAATATTTTCTCCAAAAAAGATCATTTTTAGTTGTTCAAATTTATTTATTTTTACAGTTTAATAATCTCTATGTTAAAAATTATATATTTTGTTAAAATTGATATCAAATTCTATATTAAAAATAAATTATTAAGGAGCCCGCATTTCTACATGTGAAGGACACGGTTTCTATGCGGCCAGCGCCCGCATATTGTAGAAATACGGGCTTGACAATAAATATATTCTTAAAATATAATTTGATCTTAATTTTTAGAGAATATATAATCTTTAACATAAAGATAAGAAAAAAAAAATTGAAAACTAAAATAATAATTATATTAAAAAAATATTTGAACCCTTAATTACACTTGTTTTTAGATTGACCACCTATTTGCATCCATCTTATTTATACTTCTGGACATGATATTGTCGAAATGCGGTCTAGCGGTCATAAAACAATTTCCTTCAAAGAAACCGTGTCCTTTTTATATGTTTTTGCCCTTTCTACGTCCATGAGAAAACATTCTTACAAAATATTTTACATGGTTGAAGGACATTCCACGCCGGGAAGAAGATAATTCTCCTCATAATCTCAACCCTACAATAATTAGAGTTTGATTAAAACTTGGAGCCTATACAAAACCAACTTAGTGGCCTAGCCTTCAATTAAAACGCTTTCAATTAACCAAATTTATTCTACTAATCCTCTTGTCCTATCAAAATAAACAATGTCTCAGCTCAAATTATAGTTCTAGAGTGGAAAAACCTTTGAATTGATCATCTCGGCCTTAACTCTTATGATTGTAAAAAAAAAAAAAGAAATTTTTAAACCCTAAAAATAATGCATATTGTTACACATTATCTAAACTATCCATTTCACCCTAATAAAAGTTCACTTTATCTACAAAATCTATACCTTTTTTAGCTTCAAATTTTGGAGTTAATTGATTTGAAGCCATCATGCAGATTTTTAATACCGAAAGTGCTTTTTGGAGGAAGATTTGATATAAGGCTTTACAGTATTTTCTGAGAGCCTAAGCCTTCTAGAAAATGCGTCCAATAAAATAACATTGGATAATTTTACCAATAAGAGAGAGGACCTGCGCTTCACGCCGCCGGACCATCATTATGGCGAAGAATCCAGCAATTTCTAGTGCTCTAAACCCATGTAGATTTATTTATTTTATTTTATTTTTTTAACATAACTTGAGTATTTTAAAGATGGCGTCCCAGGGCAAAAAAGCATATCCTAAGGTTAAAACAAAATAATTAACTAAGACTCATTACCTTGCGTAAGCAAAACGTATATTTAAAGAGGGTGTATGGCATGCTCGCGTGGGAGCGCACTGTGCACCTAATACCTCTAGCAAAATAATTGATTTTCGCCCTTTAAAATGTTGGGATCTACTTTAGAATCACCAAACGGATGATTTTGAAGAAGAGTAATTATATTTTGATTTCATAAACACTTAAATTTGTCTATTTGAATTTGGATGGTTCTTCAAGCCTAGGATTAGGGGTGGCAATGGACCGGACTAGACCCGGGACCCAATAGGTATACCTGACCTCGGGTCCGGGTACATGTTTAAATTTTGAATTCGAATACTATTCGGGTCCGGTCCGGGTCTATCGTACCCAACCCATACCCATAGTCGTAGGGTATATGATGGCAATCATGTGTCTTTAAACGCGCACCAAATATTTATAGTCACAATATTAATAACATTTACAGTATTATTGGCAAAAAAATTTTCATACTAACAAGGTATATGATGGTAAGAAATGGGCAAAAAAAAAAACACCCATAGTCATAGGATGGCAATAGATCTAACTAGATCCAAGACCCGACCGGTCCGAATTCGAATCCAACTGGACCTGACCTATACCCAACCCGTTGCCACCCCTACTTAGGATGCTATTCTTTAAGCGGCACAAACATAACATGTACAAAAATTTACTTATTTTAATTCGCTTGTTTGAGGAGGTTGCATCTCAACATTTGGATTCCTAAAATATTCCATTCCAGTAGCATTTTATATGCTCCCGCGAGAGATTATCATCTCTCGACTCTTTAAATCAAAGAAAGTATTCCTAATTGATAGAGCCAATAAGGACCTAGACCACTCACACTTTTGATACGCCACCCAACAGTGTGGCTGGCCAAATCAATCACCACCATATGTCTGCCTTGTCACCACCTAATTTAGCCCAATAAAATAAGTGGGTGGACAACTAAAAAAATCACAGGCTGAATCTGCCCCATTAAGATGCAGGAGGTCCTAGTTTTTTAAGATATCATTAATCTTTGGTACAAATAGGTCATAATTATTTTTAACCCTTAGATATGCAATTAGATGACTTGCGGTGTGTGGCAAAGTTTGAAAAAAAAAAAATTTTGAACCCTAAGTCTAATCAATAAGATACTGACAATCACCGGATTTAAAATCCAATAGACAATAATGATTTTGATCTCATTGTACTTAAAGTAGAGAGTTTCTTATTCACCCAAAAGAATAAAAAGAGTAAGGGATCTCTTTACATACTTTTCCTTTTGCAAAAATTGACCTCGTCAATTTTGAACTGATTTAGAAAATCCAATATTTACAAAATTCCAAAGAATAACTAATCAAAAAATTCCACCGAAGTTCATGCGAAATTTGGCCCCAATCAGATCGAACTTACTTTGTCATGTGGCCCAAATTTTTGTAAAACTAGGAGACTCATGGATTCTAGGGTTACAATAACCCTTGCATAGAGAGATGAGAGGCTTACAATGTCGTGAAAGGACATGCATGCACCTAAATATAAATTGAGACGTTGCACCTAAATTCAAAAAGAAAAAGTATATATAAGGATGCAACTTTAAAATGTAGAATAAAGGTAAAAAATCCATCATAAAAGGTTGTTTTGATGCTTGAAATTCCTCTAATCGATTAGCTCAACATCGAGATGTTTGAATACGAAAAGAAAAAACGATCCTGACTCTCAAAGATAGTATATCTTGTAACACATTATTTGGACTGTTTATTTTTAAGATTTCCATGTGTTTATAGATCTACTTGATTTGACCCATTGTTGGAGTCTAAATTTATATTATTAGAGATAAAAATAGATGCTCAAGTTATTCAAAGAATTTTGAACATCAAAATTATATATATGATAAAAATAGATTATCATAATCATATGTAAGTTTCTATGGGGGACTTTTGGGGACGAACATAAGTATCATTTACTTAGGTGAAATCGTGTTTGTACCCTTAAGTGTGAAGGTGGTCTTGGCATTAGAAAGTTAAAATATATGAATGAGGCATTGCCTTGTAAATAGTGGTAGAGAAGTCTTCAGTATGCAGATCAGCTTTGGTTTCAGGTCTTATCCTCCAAATATGGGCTGGATAGGCAAGGTATGTGATTAGGAGGGGGTAGTATTAGCAAGATGTCTTCTCTGTGGAAGTCCATTTACAAGTGTTGACTGATTTTTGTGAGTTGCTTTTATTAGAATGTTAGTTGTGGTGACAACATATCCTTCTGGCATCATAAGTGGATAGGTGATGCCCCTCTGAAGCTTACTTATCCGGAACTTTTTGCTAAGGTTTCGCAACTTATTGTTAAGGTTTCTGGTATGGTTGAGGTATGTAGTAATCATGCTGCTTGGAGTATTAATTTCCCGTATAATAGGCTGAATGAAGGTATTTATCTTCAATAGAAAGATTTAATAGGTATCTTGGATTCGGTTTATATTTCCCAATAGGCTATGGATGAAGTGATTTGGGAAATCGAATGCGATGGGATTTTTTCGATTAAGTCTTGTTATAGGCTCTTTTTCCACGATAGATAGATATGGTCTTTACCTACTGCAGCCCCCATAAGGTGTAAATGTTTTAACCAAAATAAAACTTTGACGGTGGATAATTTGATTAAATGGGTAAAGTTTTACTTAACATTTGTTTGATGTACAAAGCGGATGAGGAAACTAAAGATCATCTCTTCATCCACTGTCGTGTTGCCTCTAGAATTTGGTATTGGTGATTTGGTTTACTTAGTGTTCATTCCTCACTGCTCCATTCTGTGTTGGGTGTAGTGTCACAGTTAGTCTTTAATCAGTTACCTTACATAGGTATTTTGATTTGGCAAATAGTGAGAGTGACAACGCTATCAGAACTTTGGAAAGAAAGAAATAGGCGAACTTTTGAGGGACAGAGTATATCTTTTGATAGATTGCTCAGTAATGTCAAATTGTCGATTGGTCATGATTCTCGGTTACTAAGGAGGGTTAGGGGATTTCACAACTGATGTTCTATTAAATTTGCCAAATATGTTTTTGATGGGTAGAGTTAAGAAGAGACCCAGGTGTAGTTGGGTGGCATCAGAGAGTGGAGGTTTTAAGCTAAATTTTGACCGGAGCTCTTTAGGTAATCTAGATTTAGCAGGCATTGGGGTGTGTTGTGTGACTATTTTGGAGAATTCATCGTCTCTTGTGCTGGCCCTATTGGTTTAGCCATGGCTAACCAATCGGAGTTATTGGCATCGATGCAACGGATAAAAAATTTTATCTCTAGAAACCTTGGTAGTAATTGCATTATTGAAGGGGACTCTTTGCATGTAATTAAATGGTGTAAAGAGCAGCATACTTGATGGAATCTGAAGTCTTGTTGGTTGCAGATTATGGACTTGGTGGCTTCACTCTCGTTTTCGTTTTGTCATGTCTAACGTGAGGCGAATTCCTTGGGTGACTCTCTTGCTAAGGGATGGGCCTCTTGTCCGCTTTAGTTATTTCTTCTGATGTAATTTCTTTTGAGTATATTTGATTAATAAAGTAAAGAACATTTGTAAAAAAGAATTTATATTTATGATAAAATTTAGACGCGCTTCTTAATTTGATTGTTTAATATTGCAACCTTATGCAAATCACACCCAATGCATATTGGCGTGCTAATTCTGAATTTCTACTGAGGAACGAAGCTTATGTTATGTTAAGATAAGGCTAGCAATAGTCAGGAGGCCCGGCCTTGAAAAGGTAGAGCCTAAGCTACAAAAATGTGGGTTGAGCGCCGCACTACGATTGTGCTACTATTGCTCGAGGGCCAGCTGCAGCTAGGCCATGACAGGGCCATCCTAGACCGGCCTTGCATGACCCAATATTTTTTTTTATTTTTAAATTTTTTTTGCTGGCCAAGCCCCTTCCCCCGGTCTGGACCAGGGCAGGGCTAAGGCCCAGCCCTCTAAGTACTTAGGCTGAGCTCAGATAGGTTTGGGCCCAGCCCATTGCCAGTCCTATTATTAATGCTAAGTAAAAAGAAATCAGTCAATGCCACACAACTAGTCCTCCTTTAGGGGCTACTTCTATGGACCACTACGTGACAAAATGACTCTTGTTTAAAGGTGCATGCTGCTTAATATTGATTCCCCCACATATTTCGAGAGTAAATATAAACTTCCAAAATCTCTTGTTTTCAAATTATATTCCTATTTTTGAATTGTCCCCCAAAAAAAAAAAAACCAAAGTCGGTGTCAACCAAGTGTGAATGGACTCGGTCAAGTTACTAAAACTCGTTCCCTTGTCGAGCCAAGTACCCGGGTAAAACTTGTGGTATTTGAAGAAATAAAAAATATATTAAATTGTGAAGTCAATATATAAATATTTACATGTAATTTGAATGTATTTGACAATGATTTGTAGGTTTTATTTTTTATGTTTTTTATTTTTATGATTTTCTCCTTTTTATGGATTTTTTTTTAAATGTCTCTAACTTATTGGGAACTGAGACTTGCTCGATTGCTTCTTGTTGCGGGGAACCTTCCACTACAACAAATGTAAAACCTCGAATCAATTCACCAATTATCAGCAATAGATTTAAAAAACCCCAAGCACCTAAGAAACATACTTGGCGTAATAAATTCGGGAAAATAAAATAAAATCAAGAGAAGAAAAATGGGAAATACAAAACCACAACAACACACCAGAAACAATAATCCTATCAATGCAAAGACACAAATATATGTAGTTCACCTTAATTGGGCTACATTTACTGACAACCGATAAAGAAATAATTTTATTATCATTGAAAATTACAAGATTTGAGTAAATACAAAGGTTACCTCTCAATTGATAGAGATACATGTGGTTCACTTTAATTGGGCTACATTTACTAGCAACTGACAAAACAATAATTTTATTATCATTGAAAGATACAAGATTTGAGTAAATAAAAAAGTTACCTCTCAATTGATAGAGATACATGTGGTTCACTTTAATTGGGCTACATTTACTAGCAACTGACAAAAAAATAATTTTATTATCATTGAAAGTTACAAGATTTGAGTAAATACAAAGGTTACCCCTCAATTGATAGAGGATCACTAGTTCCCCCTTCCTGCTGCTATAAAAGATCCTCCATTGATCCAGCTTCCATTAACTCGATCATCATGAATCCGCCTGCAGCAGAAAATGTTGATGAAACTATTGAAAATATGATACAACAGTAGGTATAGTTTTGTCTAAAGCCCCCAATCTCAACCTTTATAAGAGCTCTTTCTCTAAAGATTTACTTTCTCTCTCTACAAATGGTTTATAAAGCCTCTACTAAATGGTGCTTTTCATAATGGCCATAAATTCCCTTTGCAATGAAAGAAATATAATTGGGTGATTTCGTATCACCGATCCAACAATCTCCACCTTGATATAAAATCATACTTTTACATTGCCTTTCATATTACATTATTCTTTTATAACGAAACCTAGATAACTTAGCCAATGCGGCAATCTCTCTAGCTAAATAACCTCAATGAGAACTCCTTGTTCATCTTCCTTCGTGCTTGTTCTTCTTATGTAAAATCTGCTTTTGTTTACTTTCTTATTCTTGAGTTCTTAAGGTTATCTCACCTCTTTACATGTTTTAGGTATAACAATTCTTGCACACCTTCAAACACGATAGGTAATTGATCTCGTATCACCAAGATCCTTTGCATAAGTCATTCCCCTAAGCCTGGTACAAATTCAAAATCATAGTAGTACTTGCTCATACTTCCTTGCCTCCTAAGCTAATCATAAGTCAATCAAAAAAACCACAAACAAGTAAAATAAAAAATTAGGTCATAATCATAGCAATTATTAAAAGCAATACTAGAGATGTGTACAATACTCTAGTTACATTGGCCATTCTTACACTAAATTTTGAATATTGGTTCGAAAGAGGCATCCGGTTTCATATCCTCTTGCCAAAGCCTCAAGCCCTCACTGTATACACTTGTCAAATATACTTACCAATACCTTGCTTTGCATCATCAAGTTTTTCCATTGCCAAACCGTGTTTCCCTTGCCAAGTATCTTCTTCCTTTAGTAACAAGTTGACATTTTCATTTACAACTGTGCTCCCTAACAATTTACATGAGTTTCTATCTTTGACTCTTTTCATCATAACTAGAACTCCTTTTAAAACTTTGAGCACTCCACCTTGCAAGGTAAATTTTTAACTTTCCATATCTAGAGAAGCAAATGAAATCAAAATCCTCTTTCGATTTGGCACATGTATTACATTTACATGTCTTACACTTACAATTATTACATTTTCAAGTGTTTGAACCACCCCAGCATACATCCTTATGCAAATTGAGCCTATACCCATCGATTCACTCATTGAATTGTTTCATATTGATGCTAATCCGCTTTCACATGACATATATGCATAGAATCACGAACTATATGGGTACATATGATGTGTAGCTCCACAATCAAGAATCTAATATTGGTAGCACATGGGATTACATCCCACCAGTAACACCCTATTTCAACATAACTTGATGTTGATTCTTCAACTTATGAGCATCATTTTTCGGCCTCATCTTGTCATTCCAATCTTGACTTGAAACCCTTTGAGTAATTTACCATTTTTCTTTTCCAAAAATTTCTCTTTATATGGCCGGGGTTGTCTTGAGACCAACAACCTATCTTATAAGACACCCTCAACTTTTATCGGAAATTAGCCTTAGCGCTTGAGGAATCTCTTGATGAACCACCCCTTTCATCCGATCGGCCTCTTGCAAAAAGAACATCAATTCTTGAATCCAACTTTCCATGTATACCTTCTTTCGAAGTTCATTGGTCAGGAAAGCAATACAATTCGAATGCAATTGAGGGAATATTTTTAGTGACAACTTAAGGTAGTAACAAGATTATTACAAGGCTCTGATAACAAATATAGCAACCACCTCAGCTTCCTCTCCATCTTCACCCCGACACTCATAAATTGACAAATTATATTGCTAAACTCACAAGTATTCTGACACTATACACAGTCATGCATCCTCAAATAATACAATTTTTTTAATTAAAATTGATTTATGAGGGACTTTTTAGGGACAAATTTTAAACCTTTGTTCATAAATCCTTTATTTTGTTCCTGATAGTATTTCATTATAAAAATATAGACGAACGGTGGTAAGTGCATTCATAACCAATTCTTCCCCATCATCATCATTCGTACTTTGTTAATTTTTTGGACTTTTCTTGTAGTTCTTTACAAAGACCCCATTGTACCAATATATCATGGAGTTTTATTTTTCAAAGTTCAAAATCGTTCCTTCCGCATCAAACTTCTTTGCTTGTAATTTGCAACTAGCAACTTCCCAAAA